ATTGGCTGTTGGTTGTCATGTAAGTCTGTAATAAAACAAAGATCCATCTGTGATGAAATATTTGCATTAACTTTTGAATATTTATACATTGATATCAGTCAGATTATAATTTCAGGCCCTGCCCACTAGATCATAGTCCAGTGACTGAATTCACTGAAAACGTACAATTGAGGTGTATTTTCCAAAATTTAAGTTACTGATATTGACCGAGGGCTGATAATATATGCGATATGAAAAATGACATGTAATGATCTTTTTATCATATGCTTCAACAATGGAGAAAAATAAAAGTTTAATTTATTGATCCTTTTACGTGGTTCTCAAATAGAAGTTCAGAGAGTGAAAAGTTCACGGACGTCGGACCCCAAATGTAGTAAATTCGATATGAAATCTTTCTAGCATATGCCTAAAAAGAAAAGGAAAACAGCAGTATGATATTTTACGATAAAAAAATAATTCAACAATATACATAACGAACAATGTTTGGAAAAGTCAACAATTTTAAAGTAACTTTTTAAATTATATTTGAAACTTTTAAAAATGCAATTATTTTATCATTTGTTTTTTTGGTTTTTTTTTCATTTTACACAATAAACTTTCCAGTATCCAAATAATTGTTTTGTACCTTACTTTGTATTGTTTTTCACTGAAAACGTACAATTGAGGTGTATTTTCCGGAATTGGCCGAGTATGGCCGGAATGCCATGTGATACCGTTACGGAAAGGCATGTGATAATAATCGAAGCATGTGATAAATTTTTCATATCAGCCCACTAAACACCATTTCGGAAAAATATGGAATTCACGTTGATTTAATGCTGTTATCATACTGTAAGAAATATATGTTATTTTCTCTAGGTATAGACAGGTTTTTCCGATTATCTGCCTTAGTTTGTGACGCGACTCATAGGCGTCGTCGTAGTACGATCGCCATTACAACCGTGAAAAAATATAAGATATAGATCTATATGCCCTGACCGCATATAATTAAATGTAAACACAAGAATGTGAAGTCGTACTTGACCTCGGCAAAATTATATGTGCTATAAATAATAAAGTAATTAGATAAGGATTCTAAGTGTATTGCAGGCCAGGTGTTGTGTCCTTAAAATATAGCTGTATTTGATATGTTACACGCGGGACATAATAAATTTTATACGAATACTAATCCCAGGTTACATGTCGATTACAATCATTTGGTAATCATAATATTAATAATTATAACGCATGCATAAATAAAAAATAAATAGTCTTGACCGGTCGAATATGTGATATATCAGAAAAACCAGGGTGCAATTTTATCAAATCATAGAAATTTCTGTGGTCAGACCTATAATGAGACAGTCCTAAAAATTAACAACCCACTAATCATACGGTCCTACAGAGACGAGAGTTTTGTGTTTTTTGCTTGACTCACGTATAATGCTCAAAACTGAGTTACATTTTCGTATTACTTTGGTGTACTTTGAATTGCGCTATATGCTATCGATGCGTCGGGCCATATGTAGATATGTCTTTGCGATTAGAATATGGGCTTAAGAAGTTTTGAACTTTCACGGCCCATGTCCTATAGTTATTATGTTACAGAAAATTACTCGACATACACCTACTATAGTATGTATAGTATATAACATCATGATCCAGCTCGTGCTTAATATAAATGAATGCCATTAAACCACCAAAGACTCCAACATGTAAATTCAAAGCGATGATGAGTTATGTTTTAGAAGCGTCATTTGGTGTTTTGCCAACTCCCCTCCCAACCACTCCAAAACAGTGGTCTCGTAGATTTTCATCCCTAATTCGTATTAAACTCTTATATAAGTCCCCGATGTATATAATACAGTGAAATACAGTATTACAATATAACATTAGGGATTTATATCGGACCGTCGGACTACTGAAGTGTCGGAATTTAAGGTTGTCGGATTACCGGTATAGCTACAGTTTCGTAGGTTCTAGTAAACTATTTGATTACCAAGAGTTAGACCTTTGAAAAATCTTTTCTAATGTATAAAATTTTAGAATTCATGCACAGAATAATCTACTGAGGAAAGTTCAAATCAACAGAAGTAACTGTATACGTCTTATAAAGAAAATAAAGCCAGGAATAAAATATTTTACAAGCCTTACTTTTCGAAATATTAAAGCGCCGTCCCAAATAACCAAATATCAAACTAAGTATTATCCTCATCAGTAGGATCGAGCAACAGCTGATCTGCAATATCATAGTTGAAAATTAAATTGTGTATTAATTCCACTAAAGTAAAGAAAACTTAGTTACATAAATATACAATAAGGCGTCACTGTCATTCATAATATTTCTTAAACGGCTGAAGAGGTTCCCCCTGGAATCAAACGAGGGCAGTCATTGTGCAACTCGTTGTGTAATTCGCATATTGATTTTTTCCACACCTGAAGTTTTTTACGATTATTTGTACAACTATTAACTGCACAAGAAATGCTTCCATGTTTTTTATAACTTTCGGCAGCATCCATAGTAAAATAAATCAGAAAATGAAAGAAATACAAATGAAAACAGAAAATCGATAATGTTTTGATCAATACACGTGCTTTATTTTTCACGGTTGTAATGGCGGATCGGTCACGTGAGATGTTAATGGATGCGCCCATGTTTTCTAGGTCAATTACAGATAAACCCGTCTATATGATAACAGATTTTATTTTGTTGAAAAAAAAGGGTTTTCCAAATTTTAGTTGTTTATTTAAATTCTCAGGTATTATAATATTAGTGCATGTACAAAATGTAGCAGAGAAGATACAAATTGATCGAAAAGTATCGGTCATGTCCCTTTGAAATCACTCATGATGTGTGCTCCAAAATGTCTTTGTTTTTGACATGACAAAAATTGTTCTGATTAGATACTGGTAAATATGAAATTGTTTAATACTGAACTATGAAACAAAGCTTTTTGAAATCGTATAATGCTTTGAATTTTTGTTGTTAATCATGAAAAGAAAATATGGATGTTGCTGTCTCTGTATCCTTGTTTGAAATAAATTTGAAAGGGTTGGTATCTTAAAAAGATATCTTTTGAAGTGATTCTTACATTGAATATTAAATTTTGAACAATTATTAAATATTTTTTCATGTTCTAATTGTTGAAAGCAAACATTGTTGTTTTATTTTACATACCATTACAATACTTAGAATCAGTAGTATAGATCTGTATGTAATAAGTTACAAAATATCTGTATGGTATGAATGTATTGTACAAATATGTATATAGTTATTTGTAAGATTGATTTTTTTAATGCCTTTGTGTTTTTCTTTAGAATAAAGTTATTGCCACAATAAACAATACAGTCCTATATGTACAGAACCACAAGAAAAAAGTGAGGTAAGTATTAATACAATACATTCTTCTTGTGAACCAGTACTTATAGATAATCCTGAAAATCTATAGGCATCAATCAACAGTATACTGATCAAATATAATATGCTACTTTGTTTTTGTTTGTTTCAATGATTGAATAGTTCTTTTGTATAGAGTGTTTAAAATATTTTAAAATGACAGTATGAAAAATGTATTGTGATAGTAGAAAACTTTGGTGAGTGATTTATTTTTGCAATTAACATAAAAATGAAAAAAATTGCCCTTACATAAATTTGATCTTCATGAAAGGTCCTAATTAAGGAAACGAAAACATGAAAATAAAACTTCGCAAAATGGTTTTTCATTTGAAATTGTGAAATTTATACCCTCCAAAAATAAAACACTCTTCAGTATGTAAAAATAAATAATAAAAATAATTGTCATTGCTGTTCTAGCTTGATCTATTGTAGTAGCACAACTAGTCCATTGTACTAGTAATATTTTATCACAGGGTATTCTTGAAGTGTTTTGTCTGCTGACAGACTCAATTAACCAAAATGCCCATTATAAATAAGGGTTAAAACTGCAAAAACCTATGTGAAAATACATTCAAAATGATCTTTCTCTTTATCATTAAACAGTTTCTTGTTTAATGCATTGTGGGAATTTCTTCCAACATAATTTTGTTACATTATCTTTTCTGCTAACTCATTTTAGATATAACATAGCTGTAAAACAACTAACTGTGACCTTTGGCTCTGCAAGTGCAAAGCTTATTTAGGCTATTGTTGAAATCATCTTTTGATTGTCCCATTTGCAACTGTTAAACCCTTTATATTTGGAATTCAAAATGACTGCAGTAACAGGAGAAAATTAGACCTATTGAAGCATGATTATACAAAGTTTTTATTACATGTATTATGCCCACGCCGTAGCGGAGGGGGCATTAAGTTTTACCCTTGTCTGTCTGTACTTACGTCAGTCCGTTCGTCTGTACATCCGTCCGTACGTCCCAAAGTTGGTTTCCGTTCTCTAACTTTAGTTTGCTTCAACCAAATGTTATGAAACTTATACAAAATGCTTATTACCACAAAACACAGATCAAGTTTGAATTTTGGTGGCATCACATTTACCGTTGTTGAGTTATGCCCCTTTACAAATTGAAAAAATGCTGAATTTTTATGCCCCCGCTGTAGCGGTGGGGGCATTAAGTTTTACCCTTGTCCGTCTGTACGTACGAACGTACGTCCATCCGTACGTCCCAAAATTGGTTTCCGTTCTCTAACTTGAGTTTGCCTCAACCAAATGTTATGAAACTTATACACAATGCTTATTACCACAAAACACAGATGAAGTTTGAATTTTGGTGGCGTCACTTATACCGTTCTAGAGTTATGCCCCTTTATAAATGCAAAAATTGCAAAATTTTTAGTTTCCGTTCTCTAACTTAAGTTTGCCTCAACAAAATGTTATGAAACTTATACACAATGCTTATTACCACAAAACACAGATCAAGTTTGAATTTTGGTGGCGTCTCTTTAACCGTTCTAGAGTTATGCCCCTTTATAAATGGAAAAATTGCAAAATTTTTATTTTCTTCTAAATACCAAGTAATTATACGACCGCAAAAATTTTTGCGGTCCTATATTGGTAAGACGTTGGCGTCGTCGTCCGGCGTCGTCCGAAGACACATTGGTTTTCGCTCTCTTACTTTAGTTTAAGTGAATGGATCTCTATGAAATTTTACCATAAGGTTCAATATCACAAAAGGAAGGTTGGGATTGATTTTGGGGGTTATGGTACCAACAGTTAAGGAATTAGGGGCCAAAAAGGGGCCAAAAATAAGCATTTTTGTAACTTCCAGACATAACTTGTGTGTTAGTGTATGGATCTCTCTGACATTGTACCACAAGGTTCCATATCACAAAGGGAATGCTGGGATTGATTTTGGGGGTAATTGTTTCAAAATATTAGGAATTAGGGGCCAAAAAAGGGGCAAGAAACAAGCATTTTTCTAGTTTCATGACAATAACTTATGTGAAAGTGTATGGATCTTTCTGAAATTGTACTACAAGGTTTTATATCACAAAGGGAAAGCTGGAATTGAGTTTGGGGGTAATTGCCTGAAACGTTTAGGAATAAGGGGCCAAAAAGGGGCCAAAAATAAGCATTTTTCTAGTTTCCAGACAATAACTTGTGTTCAAGTGTATGGATCTCTCTGAAATTGTACCACAAGGTTCCATATCACACAGGGAATGCTGGGATTGATTTTGGGGGTAATTGCCTCAAAATTTTAGGAATTAGGGGCCAAAAAAGGGGCAAAAAACAAGCATTTTTCTAGTTTCATGACAATAACTTGTGTGTAAGTGTTTGGATATTTCTGAAATTGTACTACAAGGTTCCATATCACAAAGGGAAAGCTGGAATTGAGTTTGGGGGTAATTGCCCGAAACGTTTAGGAATTGGGGACCAAAAAGGGGCCAAAAAAGACATTTTTCTAGTTTCCAGACAATAACTTGTGTTCAAGTGTATGGATCTCTCTGAAATTGTACTGCAAGGTACCATACCACAAAGGGAAGGCTGGGATTGAGTTTGGGGATGATGAATCATAAGGGGGTTCAAAAAATTTGGGGGGGGGGATTTTTTTTTTTTTTTTCCTTTTTTTTTTCTTTTAAAATTTTCTATTTTAAATTGGTTATTTCTGATTTATATTTAAAAGCAAATAATAATGATATGGTAGGAGATACACACTAAACAGGATGTGTAAATTATTATATAATAAGTATTGTGCAATAGCAAGAAATTTTCTATTGCACAATAGCAAGAAATCTTCAATTGCACAGTATTGCGCAATAGCAAGAAATATCCAATAGCACAATATTGCGCAATAGCAAGAAATTGTCAATTGTACAGTATTGCGCAATAGCAAGAAATATTCAATTACACAGTATTTTGCAAAAGAAGATACTTCGTATAAATTGCTTATTTCTTGACCAATTTCAATGGGGTTTTATTCTTGAATTCTTGGGGTTCTTTAATATGCTGAATCTAACCGTGTATTAAGTTTTTGGATTTTGGGCCCCGTTTTTAAATTGGTCCACATTGAGGTCCAAAGGGTCCAAAATTAAACTTTGTTTGATTTCATCAAAAATTGAATTATTGGGGTTCTTTGATATGCCGAATCTAACCGTGTATTTAGATTCTTAATTTTTGGTTCCGTTTTCAAATTGGTCTACATTAAGGTCCAAAGGGTCCAAAATTAAACTAAGTTTGATTTTAACAAAAATTGAATTCTTAGGGTTCTTTGATATGCTGAATCTAAACATGTATTTAGATTTTTGATTATGGGCCCTGTTTTCAAGTTGGTTCAAATCGGGGTCCAAAATTAAACTTTGTTTGATTTCAACAAAAATTGAATATATGGGGTTCTTTGATATGCTGAATCTAACCATGTATTTAGATTTTTGATTTTTGGGCCCCGTTGTCCACATTGAGGTCAAAAGGGTCCAAAATTAAACTTTGTTTGATTTCATCAAAAATTGAATTCTTGGGGTTCTTTGATATGCTGAATCTAACCATGTATTTAGATTTTGGATATTGGACCATAATAGGTGAATGTCCAATTTAAAATTTTTAAGTTCTTAGACCACATTCATTCTGTGTCAGAAACCTATGCTGTGTCAAATATTTAATCACAATCCAAATTCAGAGCTGTATCAAGCTTGAATGATGTGTCCATACTTGCCCCAACTGTTCAGGGTTCGACCTCTGCGGTCGTATCAAGCTGCGCCCTGCGGAGCATTTTATTTTTTAAAATTGGAGTTATCTTCATTTGTCCATGATTATAGTTGAATCAACTACAATCAATGCTTTATACAATGCAATGTTTAATTTTGACTTCCACTGATAAAACACAGATCAAGTTGAATTTGGGTGGTGTCACTTTAACCATTATTGAGTTATGCCCCTTTATAAATCGAAAGATTGCAAAATTTTTAGTTACCATTCTGTAACTTAAGTTTGCCCCAACCAAACATTATGAAACCTATACACAATATTCATTACCACAAAACTAAGATCAAGTACAAATTTTTTGTTTCCGTTTTCTTTAGTTTGCTTCAACCAAATGTTATGAAACTTATACACAATACTTATTACTACATAATACAGATTAAGTACGAAATTTGGTGGCGACACTTTTACCATTCTTGAGTTATGTCCCTTTATAAACATAAAAATTACTGAATTTTTAGCTCACCTGGCCCAAAGGGCCAAGTGAGCTTTTCTCATCACTTGGCGTCCGTCGTCCCGCGTCCGTCGTCCGTAAACTTTTACAAAAATCTTCTCCTCTGAAACTACTGGGCCAAATTTAACCAAACTTGGCCACAATTATCATTAGGGTATCTAGTTTAAAAAATGTGTCCGGTGACCCTGCCAACCAACCAAGATGGCTGCCATTGCTAAAAATAGAACATAGGGGTAAAATGTAGATTTTGGCTTATATCTCTGAAACCAAAGCATTGAGAGCAAATCTGACATGTGGTAAAAATGTTTATCAGGTCAAGATCTATCTGCCCTGAAATTTTCAGATGAATCGGACAACCTGTTGTTAGGTTGCTGCCCCTGAATTACAAATGTAGTAATTTTAAGGAAATTTTGCCGTAATTGGTTATTATCTTGAATATTATTATAGATAGAGATAAACTGTAAACAGCAATAATGTTCAGCAAAGTAAGTTCTACAAATAAGTCAACATGACCAAAATGGTCAGTTGACCCCTTAAGGAGTAATTGCCCTTTTATAGTCAATTTTTAACAATTTTTCGTAAATTTTTGTTATCTTTTACAAAAATCTTCTCTGAAACTACTAAGATGAATTTAACCAAAGTTGTAAACAATAATCATTAGGGTATGTAGTTTTAAAATTGTGTCTGATGACCCTGCCCGCGAACCAAGATGGCCGACATGGCTAATAATAGTACATAGGGTAAAATGCTGTTTTTGGCTCATATATCTAAACCCAAAGCATTTCGAGCAAATCTTTCAAAACAAAATTGTTCATTAGGTCCAGATCTATTTGCCCTTAAATTTTCAGACCATTCAGGCAACCCGTTGTTGGGTTGCTGCCCCTGAATTGGTAATTTTCAGAAATTTTTTCAGCTTTTGGTTATTATCTTGAATATTATTATAGATAGAGATAAACTGTAAACAGCAATAATGTACAGCAAAGTAAGACCTACAAATAAGTCAACATGACCAAAATGGTCAATTGACCCCTTAAGGAGTTATTGCCCTTTATAATCAATTTTTAACAATTTTCATAAATTTTGTAAATTTTTACAAAATAATTTTCACTGAAACTACTGGGCCAAGTTCATTATAGATAGAGATAATTCTAAGCATCAAGAATGTTAAGTAAAGTAAGATCTACAAACACATCACCATCACCAAAACACAATTTTGTCATGAATCCATCTGTGTCCTTTGTTTAATATGCACATAGACCAAGGTGAGCGACACAGGCTCTTTAGAGCCTCTAGTTTAGTTTGTCTCAACAAAATGTTATAAAACTTATACACAACCGTTCTAGAGTTATGCATGTTTACAAATAGAAAAATTGCTGAATTTTCAGTTTCTGTTCTCTACTTAAGTTAGCCTCAACCAAATGTTATGAGACTTACACACAATGCTTATTACCACAAAACTCAGATCAAGTTCAAATTTGGGTAGCATCACTTTTACCGTTCTTCAGTTATGTCCCTTTATAACTATATGATATGCAAGCGGGAGCATCATCTGTGTCCACCTGTGGACACTATCCACATTTATTTGTTTCCGTTCTCTAACTTTAGTTTGCCTCAGCCAAATGTTATTAAACTTATACAAAATGCTTATTATCACAAAATACAGATCAAGTTAGAATTTTGGTGGTGTCACTTCAACTGTTCTGGAGTTATGCTCTTTTACAAATGGAAAAATAGGAATCTAATATCTGTTCTAAAAATGTCAATGATGTAATTGTTTAAATTATTTTTTAAAATTGGAGTTATTTTCCTTTGCCCATAAGTGTAGTTTAATCAACTACAATTATGGACAAAGGAATTGCAAGCACTTTGATTAATGTTCTTCAGTTTTGTCCCTTTATAACCTTATATGATATTTTGTTTCCGTTCTCTAACTTAAGTTTGTCTCAACTAAATTTAATGAAATGTATATATAATGCTTATTACTACTTATCTCGGTTTAAGTTCATATTATGGAAGCGTCACTTTTACAGTTCTTGAGTTATGTCCCTTTATAATGTTATATGCTAGCGGGGGCATCATCTGTGTCCCTATGGACACATTCCCCATTTATTATGCCCCCACCGTACCGGAGGGGGCATTAAGTTTTACCCTTGTCCGTCTGTACGTACGTCCGTCCATACGTCCCGAAATTGGTTTCCGTTCTCTAACTTGAGTTTGCCTCAACCAAATGTTATGAAACTTATACACAATGGTTATTTTTTATATGCCTTGCCTTTAACAAATGCAAATCTCAAGCTTTGAACAAATAAAGTTGCTCTGTAAAGAATTAAAGGAAGATGGACTATTAGATAGGTACCATACACAGAATTCATTTAGACAATATACAGAATTTATGTTTTGTCAAGCTGATAATGAGTAAAACCCATCTGACACTATTGATCTGATATTCATTATACTGTAGCTACACTCTAATCACAGCTGACAGGATCAATCACAGCTGACAGGATTTAAATGTATTTTCATTATATTGTAGACATACCTTAGATTTAACCCAGCAAACAGAATTCACTTGTGTAGCATGTCATCCTACCGATGTTTGTGTCGTGACAGGATGTCAAAATGGTCGTATTTATTATTGGTAAGTAAATATGTCAATAAGTAATTAATGATGTTGTATGGGTTTAAAGAGTATGTAAGAGTAAGATTTTAGAATTTTTGAATAGAAAGTTTAAATTTCCCAAATTTTAAAAAGATAATGTAAATCCAAGAAAAATAGCCAAAAAAGTAAACTATGTTTTTAAATAGTCAAAAGTAGACAATTGGTGTTTTCTTGAACAAGGGCAATCAACACAGAAATTTTTTTTTTTAATTTTTTTTAAGGGGTGGATCTGCTATGCATTTGTTAATTTTTGAAATTCTGGGGATGGGTTATTTTTTCAGAACATGAATGGATCTGGCTTGATATGTATTGAACCACCCTTTTTCTTGTAAATTTGTTCCAGTTTTTTTCACCATCTATACTTAGCTTGCAAGACATAGTGACTTCACAGATGCATCATTGGCTTCATTTCAAGCCATATTTGTTGTTGTGACTATTCAGATGATTTTGATCTGACTATGTTAATAGGGGAATTTCCAATTAAAAAATAAACTACTAACATATTTCCGTGCAGTGAATATACTTTTTTATTTAAAATCTGCTCTATATAATTTTTCTATTAGATCAAATATATTATTGAATAATGCATACCATCAACATGCCATCCTTTAATATGCATTTTGTTTGAATAATTATATTTCTATCTGTTTTAAGTTTATATTTATTTAATTTGTTTGCAATGTCTTTTATTCTAGGTACAATATATTTAGGAAAGATAAAGTTGTAAAGACATATTACCATTGGCATGCCTTACCTGTGTTAGACCTGTGTTTTACTGTTGAAGGTATACTTTACTATATTTATCTACCACCATTCATTTAAACTGACACATATAAACATTCAATGCAATATTAAAACAAAACAATTTCTAAATCAGTACAAAAATGACAAACTAAAGTGAATCGGATGACACAAAACTTATTATTTCAGGCAGTGTACAGGAATTGTTACTGGATTAAGATTTGTACATTTGTTTTTGTCTGTCCAAGAAAATTGGGATCATAGCATACACTGGTTAGTCCATGGTTGCTCTGATATTCAACTGCCTGATTTGAAGACTGGATGGGGCCATGGGATGTCAAGAGTGTGGTCCATGTAGAAAAATTGGAAATTGAATACCCAGACTTGAGGGAGCAATTTTCTGTCTCCAAATAATACTAGATCTGTTATCAAGCAGATAAACCATCATGCATCATTTGTTTCTTTTCATTTTTCTCCAAGAATATATTTATGTTTTATTCTCTGACAACCCTTCTGTAGCATTTTTGTTTTCTCTAAGATATTGCGATGTTGCAATATTTTCTAACAGAATTTGGAATCATATATGCTAAAAAGGTTGGCACTTTCTATTTATGTGCATGTAGTTCACATAAGACTGAAAACATGGATAATGATTCAAAACTTGTATATATATGAGATTCACTAGTGCAGTATGCATAAACTTTCTCTCAGAATTCTATGCACACAGAATGAAGTAATGCAGTCATGTAACAACCTGTTCAAAATG